ATAATGCTAGGAACATCAGAAACCCTCCTGAGATAAGGGTTGTCTCACTCTCCTAGCCTTCCAGAAGCTCGTTAAAAACTTGGCTGTTCCAGAAGACCTTTAGGACTCAAGTGCTGTAGAGCTCAAGGAGCCAGGAATATTCCATTAATTACAATTTTACTATAATTTTAAATTGTATTTCTGTTACTGTTTGTTACTGTATCTTACTGTTATTGCATTGGCTGCCATTGATGCTTCTGAACCCTGCTGAAAGTAGCCTCCCTGAAGCAGTTTATAACTTCATGAATAAATAAACTTGTTAATCTCTTTCCTGTTTGCTTCCTGCTTTAAAGTAGCAATTCTAAAGTATTAATTATTTCCAAATAATAATTAGCAAGTACTTAAAGCATTGTTCTTCAGAATGTATGTTTGGAAAAGAAAAATATGGACCATTTGGAAATTCTCCCCTGTTGTGTGATATAAAGTAATGTCATAAAGGAATCTAGGTCTGAAGGGGCAAAACTAACAGAGTAAAGGATATATTAAAAATAAGGGAAGAAGGTGTATCATTTTCCAAATGTTTTTATCCAGAGAGAACTCATTGCTGTGAATAATGTAGGATTCTGTTTCAAATAGCAAATATCGCCTATTGTATTGGTTTTCAAACAGCATCCCAACAATTGCTGGGATTCTGGAAAATTTAGCAACTTCCTGGTGAGAAATAGCAGCTTTCCTAAGAGATCTATCTAGCTATCTATCCATCCATCGTTTTTCTATCCTTTCTTCCTTCTGTCTCTATTTTCTTCCTTCCCTTCTACCATCTTCCTTCCCTCCCTTCCTCCCTCTCCCCCCCATGTTCTACAATATGTAGTATTGGGAATGCATTAAAATGTATTTCCAGTTTGCATGGAGCAGGGACAGAGAATTAGCCAGCCTGTTATTCTTCTATAACTTGAACATGTGCCCAGCAACACTTCCTAGGATTTTGTACAGCATAAAGGGAATCCTTGGCAGATGAATAAGGTAGAACTTAATCTATTTCTTTGAACTGCATTGATTCCCCTAGTATTAAGAAAGTTGATAAAGACCTACGTTTTATTTGCAGTGTCGTAATATCTATTACCATGTATTCAGTCTTTGATAAATGGCCATAGCTTGAAAGTAAGGTAGGAAAATGAGGTCTCTTTGCATTACCTTCTGATTTTCAAATGATTTTATTATCCTTCATAATTGACAAATATACTGATTTAAACTCCAGTTAAATCAACATATCCATATAACATTCTACATGCGTGGAAGTATACAGTCAGCTAAGCATTAAGAAGTAACTAACAATTTAGTAAATTAAGGAAGTCTGATTTCCAAGTTCCATCATGCAAGAGTGTAATCTCTAGCTGCCAGTCATTGCAGCAAAACAGGTACTGTTCCCTGATGTCATTGATCCTTAAGGCAAAGCATCCCTTATTCTGATTTCAAAAACATGCCTTAAAGATCATGGATAAAAAATACTTCACATGCAGCTATTATCACAGATCTTTTTGACTTACAGCTGAAAAGCATGAATAGAAAGTCAACATCCATCTTCATTAGTAGGATTGAGGTTTGTGTCAGACACATGATTCTGAAACCATGGGCCAGGGAACCTCCATTCCATTTGCAAGTTCTTATTATTTTTAAAAATGCTAGTGAGTTTCTGCTGCCTTCTAAGGATTCTAGTGAAAATTAGTATGGACCTTTAACAGAACAGTGTTAAATGTGTTCAAGCAGAGGCCGGCTAGATATTTTTCAAAGATTCTTCAGTTTGGGTTCCACATGGAGCAGGAAGTTTGATTCACAGCAGAAATAGACCTTCCTCAATTCCCTCTAAGAAAAAGATAGTTCCTCCAAACTCTGCCTCCTTTTGCAAAAATCAAAAACTAGCCTTTGAGTGCTAAGCTCAGCTCAGAGCTTGGAAGGAGAAAGGAGGTGTTCCTGTAGTTGCATTTAGGGTTAACTGTAACCTGTGGGCCTTCAAATGGAGCTTGGAAGCTATGATGAAATCATAGGCATAAACCAGTATTTGATAGCTGATGCAAGCTTTGGTTTTCCAAAATCAAACTAAGAACTCCGTGCCCTAGAAGGAGTCTACCCATAGCATTTATGTATGAATCTGTGTCCAAGTCATGCCTCCCTTGGGACTGACCAGGCTCCTCTCTTGTTTGGCTGTGGAAGGAAGATTAAAAAGTACCTGTGATGGCAGAAACGCCTAACCTTTTTCTGCTGCTAAGCCTAATTACTTGTAAATGCCATAGCCACAAATACCACCTGTCTTTACTTGTTCCTTCTTCATCTGTGTTATCCTTGGATAATGTAACTCATTTGTGGCAATGGCTTGATGTCATCTTTGCAGAGTACAATGCATAAGGATGGCGCACTAAGTGATCAAGTTTATTTATTACTAGCAGCTCTCTCACAGCAGGCAACTTGAAAATTAGCAGCTTAAACAGAATAAATTACCCTATAATTATCTAGTTTCTCAGTGAGGAAACTTACTGCGGCCTGCTGAATAGAGCCCTATACACTATGTTTATGTTGTTTCTTTCATCTTCTTCTTTGTACCGAAGCTGATGAAGACATGGAGTCTGCTTGCTTGACTGGCAACTGAGCTTGCCATACCTGTTCTTTAACTAGAGGGTTGGTCATATACTGTTCTACCTGTCTCTAGTAGGGTGGCAAAATTGATATGATACCTTATAAAATCAAATGGGACTGGAGGTGCACAGCCCTGCCCATCTGAGGTTCAGGCAATAACAGCACAACAAAGTTCTGCTTAGTTTTGCACAATTGTCCCTTAAAATGCTTCTCCCAACTCATTGTCCTTTTGAACTAAAGCTCCCATCAACCTATCTGTGAAAGACTATATTGCAGCAGTTCTATACACTGTCAGATAATCCAGTGCCATAATATTTTAATCTGATATGCCTAATATTGTGAGGGTTCGATATGAGAAATAGTGTTTTGTGGAGTCCTTGGGGTTCTCTGAGCTTGGTTGTTTTCTTGCAAATGTTTTGTTACCTAGCTAGGTGACATCCTCAGTGCTAGAATGGAGTGGAGTTTGCTCTCTCTCTATATACAGTGGCTTGCCCTGCCTGTGTTGGTGGTGGGTTCCCCCCCCCCCCTCCATAGTTCCTTGATTAGGGTATTATTTACTGCTTGATTGTATGCCTGGTGATAATCTTGGTGTTAATCTCTGCGTATCTGGGTGATGATTGCTGGTAAGATGTTCTGCTCTTTTGTTTTCCTTTCTGTTGTCTCTTTTGAATAGTGTATAGATGTTGTTTATCTCTGTGTGCCTGTTGACGGCTGCCTTGTCTGAGCACCAAGCTTCCAGGAATTCCCTCGCATTTTTGG